CTGGACACCCCCCAGTGAGGAGAGGAGGGGGGTTTCCAGCCCTGGTGATGGATGGATGCAGCACAGAGCTTCCTGCTTCCTGTTTTCCACCACAATCTGAACATCGTTCTTCTTCTCCTGCCTCTAAAAATGCAGCGCGAGCTCTGATTGGCTGTTAGGACTCCTTACAGGAAGCTAGGAGCTGTCCTCACGCATGCTCGGTCTCTCTTTGAGCTTCATGAGCTTTTTCTCTGTGCAAAGTCTGGTATGGAGTAATTGCTGATGTTTGGACACAGACTCCGACCAAAAGAAGATTTTACAGACAGATGCATCAGATCTGAAGGTAGAAAATCTCTCTCCAATCTTGTAGCCAACCTCCTTTCTCATTTTAAACAGCCCACACGCCTCAGCAGGTGGATTTTTAACCCTATACAGAACTTCCCTAATAAAGTACTATCAAATTGTATATATATATATAGTTATGCTTAATGTATATAACCTACTTTTTCTACTAATTTTTTCAGATTATTTCTTCTCTAAAAATGTACAATTTTTAAATAAAACAATAGATATACAACTTCCCCAATAAAGAACTATGAAATTGTATATTATATATATATATATATAATCTACCTTTTCTACTACTTTTTCCAAATGTTTATTTTCTAATAATTAAGATTTTTCTTTTTACAATGAAAGATATTTAATTCCTTTCTGCTTCCTGCATTTTTTTTTAAATCTGGTTTATGATTTATTCTGTGTATATCTGTAACAAAAGCATAACTTGAAAAACAATTAACACAGCAGATATAGATCATTTCCACTTTTGGGATCATTAAAGTTTAGTTTGATTGAGTTTTATGATCTAATCTATTGATTTCAGTTGGATGAATCCGTAAATGTAGGTTTGCTTGTGAATAATTGAGTGGAGCAGAATCAGAAAGAGAAAGATGAGAGTGAATGAAAGGCGTGTGGTGTAATCCAGAGGTCTGAGCGCAGTAAGCTGAGGCGGGCCTGGTTCTGAGTGAGTAAAAAGCGGCGTTTAATCGATGGCTGCAGGATGACTGCGCTCAAACAGGGACCGGCTGCAGAGCAACGCCTGTAAGAGGCCAGAACAGACCCAGAGGAGGAGGAAACCATCAAAGTTAGGCTCCAGAACCACCTGGAAATGGATCAAAACAGGCTTTTTAGGAAATGACTCGCTAATAAATCACAAATATCCTTTTGTTCTGGTCATTTTCCAGCTGAACTTTCACAGATTTCCTTGTTATTTTCAGAAACTGTATCCCTCTGCCTCCTTTATGGATAAAAACAAGTCGACACTCCCCATAGATTGAATTTATTGGTGTTTTATGAATATCTCTAGCAGCACAAATGGAGCAGAATGCTGCCCGTTTTTCATTTCTTGGATGGATATCCAACCCCGCCCACATCCAAGTCGGCCATTTTGATTAGGTCACCAATAGGAAGATCCCAGGCAAGAAAATCCTAATTGCCTCATGGCAATGTAGACATTCATTTAAAAATGAGTGAAATTAATCTAGCAAACACTGAATTAAACTCTATACATAATATTATGTTAAAATAGTGGATGTTAAATAGGTTTGTATAATAAGTCCAAACAAATTTAACCAAAACATTTGCTTCTCAGGCTGGATGTGGATGAGTCACTTCTCATCCTGGTCAAATGTCCTGCCAGACTCTGAGAGTCCCACCCACCAAGCACCAAATGCTGGCTGCCTTTGCCTTTGGAGGGATGTTTCCCAAAATAACCTCACATTTATTTGACTAAAATCTCTTAAATTTGAACATCAGATACTCGGGATGGTGATTTGAGAAATTATTAGATTGTTTTATTACATGCAAACCAAATCTTTTTTTAAACTTTT